AGTGGTGTGACCTTCAGCCTTGACCTCGAACCATGACCGTGCATTTGTGAACTCGGGCACACTTGTAATAATCAGGTACATGAAATTTCAATTTTAGCTGAACCTTAGTTTGTCACATCAATTTACATCACCATAGATAGCAAAGGTGTGGCATTTTTGTGTGAATACCGTTACCGTGTGTGCAGCCTGTTACACCTATAGTTACCTCACTGTTCCACCTCCCTGTGTTATTACAGGCGATGAGAGGTGGGTTTAAATACCTGAACTGTCTCAGCCTGTCCAGCAGAAGCGATTTTAGATTAAACTACAGGAACCGTATTGGATTATATAGTTTCCTAACACAATATTAGGTAATGTGCCCATAGTTGTGACACATGTTGCCCCAGTACTAGGAATGGCCAAGCATGTGGCATGTCTCAGGTTTCCTGAGGATTGTAAAAGAGCGTCAGAGCAGGCCTTTTTCTTAGTGTTTTGGGAAAGAAAACGAATCTAAGTGACCTCACAATAGACAAGGCTGTTGGTGCGCTGTGGGAGGAAACCAGAGCACCCGAAGGAACTTCATGTGAACATGGGGAAGAACATACAAACTTCCATGTTTCAGAATTTGCGAGTTAATGTCATCCTGCCTTTTTTTTTTGTCAGGGTGTACAAAACGTTCGTGGCCAATATCTCTATAATGTCTAGTTCGCCCTGGGCACTTCATCCACCCCCCCTTAAAAAAGTCCTCGAGGGCTTGTACTAAACACCCAGCTCCAATTGAGGAAGAGGTGCAATCAGACACCCCCGCCTCAGCCAATCATTGTGCACTCCAAACAAGGCGAACGTCAAAGCGATTGGCCACTCCTCTCTCTTTAACACACGGGAGCCCGACTCTTCCTCAGCATCGGGCTTGTTATACGGGAGGTGCGTGGACGGACACATTGCATCATATCAAGAACCGGACAAAGAGGTGAGTGGAAATCCGTGACGTTAAGAAAAAAACGACGCAACGTGTGTGTCTGTCCTTACTTTAAATAATTCAACTATTAATGCCTAAACGACTCCTCGGATTTTGAAATCTGTCTTGAATGCAGATGATTTTGTGGTGTGACGAGCAGTTTTGGCAAGAAATATGAACGGGTTTTAAGTGTCATGATGTTCTACAGAAAAAAAAAAACCCCATCAAATTGCAATAACGAGCGATTTCTCGGACGGTTACGATATTGTGAAATACATCCTATGTTACATAGTAAAACAAGCATCATTAGTCAAGTTTCAGGTCGGAAGTACGTAAATTTAGCGTATCCAGCTTTGTACATTTTGCAGTAATCGATACAGATGACAGGGTTGCATGCTGTACAGATCAGTTTGTCCA